CAATCAATAAAACAAGGAGTGTACATAGAACAATATCGGACCCCTGAAAAGTATAAGCATGCATATGGACTCAGTACTTGGTTTGGGCCCCTTTTGCAGCAATTACTGCCTCAATGCGGCGTGGCATGGAAGCTATCAGCCTGTGGCACTGCTAAGGTGTTATGGAAGACCAGGATGCTTCAAAAGCGGCTTTCAGCTCTTCTGTATTGTTTGATCTCATGTCTCTCATCTTTCTCTTGGCAATGCCCCATATATTCTCTATGGGGTTCAGGTCAGGTGAGTTTGCTGGCCAATCATGCACAGTAATCCCACAGTTATTGAACCAGGCTTTGGTGCTTTTGGCAGTGTGGGCAGGTGCCAAGTCCTGCTGGAAAATGAAGTCAGCATCCCCAAAAGCTCGTCTGTGGAAGAAAGCATGAAGTGCTCCAAAATCTCCTGGTAGACGGCTGCGTTGATCCTGGACTTAATGAAGCACAGTGGACCAACACCAGCAGATGACATGGCTGTGGAAACTTCACACTGGACTTCAAGCATCTTGCAGTGTGTGCCTCTCCATTCTTCCTCCAGACTCTGTGTCCTTGGTTTCCAAATGAGATGCAAAAGTTGCTCTCATCAGAAAAGAGGACTTTGGACCACTGAGCAGAACAGGTCTGTTTTTCTTTAGCCCAGGTAAGATGCTTCTGACGTTGTTTGTTGTTCAGGAGCGGCTTGACAAGAGGAATACGACATCTGAAGCCCATGTCCAGGATCCGTCTGTGTGTGGTGGCTCTTGATGCACTGACTCCAGCCTCAGTCCACTCCTTGTGGAAGTCCCCAACACATTTGAATGGCCTTTTCCTGATTATCTTCTCCAGGCTGCGGTCATCCCTGCTGCTTGTGCCCCTTTTTCTTCCACAATTTTCCCTTCCACATAACTTTCTATTAATGTGCTTTGATACAGCACTTTGGGAACATCCAACTTCCTTCGCAATTACCTTTTGAGGCTTTCCCTCCTTATGGAGGGTGTCAATTATGGTTTTCTGCACAACTGTCAGGTCAGCAGTCTTCCCCTTGATTGTGATTCCTACTGAACCAGACTGAGAGACCATTTAAGGGCTCAGAAACCCTTTGCAGGTGTTATGGCTTACTTAGCTGATTAGAGTGGGACACTGTGAGCCTAGAATATTGCACCGTTTCACAATGTTCTAATTAACTGAGATTGTGGCTTTTGGGGTTTTCATGAGCTGTAAGCCATAATCATCGCACTTATGACACATCTCGGCTTAAACTATCTTGCTTTGCATGTAATGTGTCTATCTCATAAATAAGTTTCCCCTTTTACATTGCATTACTGAAATAAATGAACTTTTGCGCGATATTCTAATTTTTCTTATATCACCTGTATATGTGTTATCTCCCTTATACCACATTCATGGGGTAAAAAAAGACAAACACAAAGGGGCAAACATTGCTAAATATTTTAAGAGGCATACAGTAGGCCTGAATGCCATACACATTAAAAAAATATAACCTCTTTTCCTGGTAATTAGAGGGATGCCACACTTTAAGCATGCAATCGCATAACATCTAATCTAGCTTGGGCACATGTGTATTTTCAGGTAGAACCAGGGACGTATTAGCCGCGAGGCAAACAAGGCATTTGCCTTGGGCGGCATTTTTCAGGGGGCGGCAAAAAACGCCGCCCCCCAAATGCCCAGGGCAAATGCCTAGTTAGCCTTGCGGCTAACTGACATCCCGAGCGGCCGGCGAGGGAGCACTTCCCATGAGCTGACTGCTCAGCTCCCTCGCGCACCGCAAAGTGAGGCTGGGAGCCGGAAGATGACGTCATCTTCCGGTTCCCAGCCTCACTCTGCAGCCGACGCGCGAGGGAGCTGAGCAGTCAGCTCATGGGAAGTGCTCCCTCGCCGGCCGCCCGCCCGCCCGCCTGCCAGCGCCGCCCTGCAGCCACTGGACCACCAGGGAGAGAGACCCCCCCCCAGCACTCCCAAAGGTAAGGAGGTTGGGGGGGATTTAAATTAAAAAAAAAGTTAATGTGTGTGTTTGTGTCTGACTGTGTGTGTTTGTGAGTGTGTGTGTGTGTTTGTGTCTGTGTATGTGTCTGACTGTGTGTGTGTTTGTGTCTGACTGTGTTTGTGTCTGTGTATGTGTCTGACTGTGTGTGTGTGTTTGTGTCTGACTGTGTGTGTGTATGTGACTGTGTGTGTCTGTGTGTGTTTGTGTGTGTGTTTGTGTGTGTGTTTGTGTCTGACTGTGTGTGTCTGACTGTGTGTGTGTGTTTGTGTCTGACTGTGTATGTGTGTGTGTGTGTGTGTGTGTGTGTTTGTGTCTGACTGTGTCTGTGTATGTGTCTGACTGTGTGTGTGTGTGTGTTTGTGTATGTGTCTGACTGTGTGTGTTTGTGTATGTGTCTGACTGTGTGTGTGTGTGTGTGTGTTTGTGTATGTGTCTGACTGTGTGTGTGTGTATTTAGAAGGTGGGGCGGGGGGAAGGGTTGGGTGGGGGTGGCGCGGGGGGGCGCCTGAGTTTTGTCCTGCCTAGGGCAGCACAAAACCAGGATACACCACTGGGTAGAACATACCGTGTCATAAATAAAGGGCAACATATAGGTCACTAATATTTCAATATCAGAAATGTTCTAGGATTTAGAAAGGTTGAATGACCTATTTGCTACCTAATAATTTAAACTGGAAAAAAAGAAAAATACAGTAAATAAACTATAGTACATGTGTGATATTTCTTGATTTCCATTGGTGTGTAAGAATGAATAATATCTCTATTTCACAGCCCCCTCCTCTATACAGGAGATTTGGTTTTAGAGCACAAGTCATAAAGTCCAGTTGAGCACAACCGATTTGGCTATTGTTCATCAAACAACAAAGTGTAAAAACCCTGCATGTGGATCAGCGGCGGAACTACTGCTGATGCAGCTGGTGCACATTGAGGGGGCTCGTGCATTTAGGGCCACCTTATGGACGTGTATTCAGGGGCTCGTCTATGCACTGTGGCCCTTTAACAGTGTAACCAGGCCCCTCTCATATCACTTCCTCCCAGCTTACAGACTGAGCCACACGGAAGAGAGGTCAAGGTAGAGAGGAGGGGGCGTGGTCCAGGAGGACCTCTAACTCCGAACAGTCTCACCCATCAGACTGGACCCCACAGAAGCCACCCTTCTGCACCCAAAATGTAGGCTAAAAATGTGTACATTTTACATGTGTGTCTGTGCATGTATCTGTGTGTTTGTATGTGTGTCTGTGTATCTGTATGTGAGTCTGTGTATATGCGTGTTTATGTGTCTGAATGTGTATCTGTGTATTTATCAGTGTGTCAGTGTGTGTATCTATCTGTGTGTATGTGTATCTTGTGTGTGCATCTGAGTCAGTGTGTGTATCTGCATGTGTGTAAGTGTTTGTATTCGTATGAGTGTCATTGTGTGTATCTGTGTATCTGCATGTGTGTCAGTGTGTGCACCTGTGTGTCTGTGTATCTGCATGTCTGTACCTGTGTATATGCATGTCTGTACTTGGTTATTTGTATGAGTGTCAGTGTGTGTGTTTGTATCTGCACATGTGTCTGTGTGTGTTATATGTGTGAGTATGTGTATCATTAAGTGTGTATGGCAGTGTATATGTGCTAACATCTCAGCATTCAAACTCCAACACTACACACAAATTGAACCCTATATGAAAACATCAACACTACATACAGACACACCCCTACATTCAAAGAAAAACATTACATACAAGTAAACCACTGCTTTCAAACCTACATTCAAACACATACTCCATACAAAAACAAGCTTACATTCCAACACAAAAACACTGCTCAGTGCTAAATACAACCCTGCACGGATGGGCAAATGGTAGATCCCCAGCTGGCAAAGCATTTTAAGAATTGTATGACGGATGAGGATCTACCTTTTAGCCATCCTTGCGATAGGGGGCTCAAAACATTTCTTGCACCAGGGTCCTCTCTACTTTAGTTCCACCACTGATGTGGATTAACTCTTTAGACCTTCAATCTGCATACCGCTTCCTTATAGAGAAGACGTAGATGTTCAAATGTTTGCTCAGTTGTTTCCCCTGAAATAAAACATTTAAAATATGTTATATGTTACTATTGCAAGCAATTTATAGACCATTTGAAAGTATTCTATCATTCAATCACTCAATCATTCAATCACTCAGACAACAGCTTTGGTTTTTAGAGAACCTGTCACCTGTACAACTATAAATAAGTAAATCATTCTAATTATGCATTCAGCTGTATTTGTCCTCCACTACTGAGATTTTTGTTTTTAAATAAATAAAGATTTGTAAGATCTGTCTGAAACATGGGAAGCATATATTGCCTATAAAAATTAGATAAAACAGCAATTTCAAATACTGATTGCTGTAACTTCAGACACACCATCAATAAAATATATATGTTTATAGACTTTTATTTGCTCATCATCCATATCAGAAGTTATTATCAAAAAGGACATGGGGGAAAGGGTAATTTGGTCCCAAGGAAAATCTAAAAACCAAAACTTAAACCACTGACAGATAACTTTAGGAGTGCTTTGTCCTGAGTTGGGTTGGCCAGAGTGCCTATTTGTTTCATAGATGGACAAACCCATTCTGGACACCATCTTCTACTCGGCTCACCTGCCTGTTCCACTTCTATACCTCTCATTGATGGGAATGCGTATTATTTTAACTGTGTGTCACAGGTATAAATGAATTACATCTTCCCTACAAAGAGATGAATTCGCTTTAGTCTAAACCTTATTTATATATGTACAAACATGCAGAAAATGTCTCCGGTGACAAAGGCATTTTTATTTTTTGGGAGAGCAAAGGTATGTTTGCATTGTAGCTGGTTTAGGGGAAAGTATTGAAGAACAAATGGCCTATGCAGCTTTAATGAGTTATATGGAGTTCATTAAAAAAACAGTTCTTGGTGAAATACCTGGAGAGGACATTGCGTAATTATTATTAAAGTCTAGGACATATACTAGTTTAATATAATAAATTATTGTTCTGACCTTGACATGTGACAGTGTAATTGGTAGGTTTGTATATCTTTTCATATCTGTTACCTTGCAACCTCCCTTGGTATACCTTTATATCTACTGAGGAGAAAATTGCATAACTGATAATTCAGGACACACTGTATTAATAATGTAAAAACAGTTTAAAGATATTGCTCTTTTGCTGAGACAGTGTATTTAATGTAATGTGAATGGTTATATATATTAAATATTTAAAATGGTGTTTTGTCACGCACACAATAGTTTTTCTTTTATGGACACACAACATACCACACAAACTCCATAGTGTACATGTGCTGCAGTAGTAAGGAGAGTAAAAGCAATGAAAGTAATTTCCTCCACTTGTCCAAGCAGTCCTGACACAGCAGCGCCCACTAGCAGAATAAGAGGGAAAAGCATCCAGTGGAAGACTTCACACCTTGTGTTTGTCATTTGAGATATAATCACTCGGCACTAAAAAAAAATAAAAAATTCAACTAGTATTAAGAAAAAAAAAAACACATTCATTAATAAATCTAAATACTGAAGTGAAATTTCATAAGTTAGTAGTGGATAACCTCTGCCACAGCAGATATTCTCATAATGCCCATGCAACCAGATGAATGGCCAAGAATCATGAAAAATTTATTCATTGCTCTATCTTAATTGACTTTCTCATCTTTTACTATAACAATGCTACTAAAAGCTATCATAATATGTGTCCTATTAAAAATATTTTGCATGTCTGTTTTTCCACTGCTATATGCTTTAATAAGTTGACAATTTAATTAAGGAAAATATAATTTCTATTACACCCTTAATATATTAAATTATTTTCATTTCAATACATTGAAAACAATATTAAAAAGGTGTGCTAAAACCCAGTAATGTGATTAACCCAAATAACAGCTGTTTCATATAAAAAAGAATAGTTACGTTAAAAAAACAGATTCTGGGGGGCGGAGCCTAACCTTCAATGGAGTAAGACGCACGGGCCTGCAGCTCTCCCGCCCCGGCCGAAATACCCGCGCACATCAGCCGGCTACCAGGTGCATCTCGCCCCCAAACGCCTCCCACGGGCCCCCAAAGACCCCACACACCTCTTACCGATGGGGGGAAACAAAAAACGGAAGGAATCCACGCCGTCGGTGGCGACGATGTTTCGCGCCAAAGAAGACGGGCGGCCATCTTTGGCCCACAGCCAGGCAGACTCCGGCTCAGACTCAGAGGGGAGCGAAGCAGAAAAAACCCCGGCCACCCCCCTCACCAAAGAGGACCTCCGGGCCATGCTCAGGGAGACATCAGCAGACATCAAAGCCTACACTGCAGCAGCCCTGGAGAAACAAATCACAGGCCTCAAGAAAGAGCTGGAGGTACTGACCTCAAGAACAGACCACAATGAACGCCTGATAAAGGACACCCAAACAAAAACCACAGCCCTCCACAAGGACACAGAGCTCCTGCAAGACAGAATGCTCTACCTTGAAGACGGACTGGAGGACCTCAATAACAGATCCCGCAGACAAAATATACGCATCAGGGGCATACCTGAAACAGTCCTTCCAAACGCCATTCTCCCCACAATCAAAGCAATCTTCCAGTCCCTCCTCCCTAACGCCTCAGATCAAGAATTATACATAGAAAGGGCACACAGAGCCCTGCGTCCCCCAACCTACAACCCCAACACACCACGGGATATCATAACGAAACTCCTATACTTTCCAGTCAAAGAACAGCTTATGAAAGCGGCAAGAGCCCACCAGCCTACCTACCAAGACCAACAAATACACTTCTATCAGGACTTAGCACCGACCACACTGAAGAAACGCCGGGAGCTCAAGCCCCTTACCACAGCCTTGATCGAAGCCGGATGGCGCTACATGTGGGGACACCCCTTCAAACTGTCGGTGAAAAAGGGGGAACAATCATTCACCCTCCACCAGGTAGCAGATATGCAAGACTTTGCCGACCATCTTGGGATAACCTTACGCTACCCAGCACAAGACCCCAACCAAGCCACGAAAGAGAATGCGAGCCGCAGAGGAGGGCCCCATACGCTCCCAACACGCCCGCAACCTAAGCGAGGGTCCCCGCCAACGCAACCAGAGCAAGACGACATGAACACCTGATAGGCTCAAAAGACGGCTACTGGCACCAACCCCATACCGGGAACCTGAAACCAACCCAAGGCCGCAAACCACGGACTCTAAAAGACTGGTAGTATGCACACCACAATGTTACTCTAATGTTATCTCAATGTTATCTCAATGCTGTATATAGTTAAAATACACCCGTTATGCTTGAATGTTTATCTGAGCGTACTGCCGGGCCTGGGACCCGATACACCCCCAAGGCTGAACACCCATAAGCCGTAGACAGTGCCCATACGACACAATAACCGCACGCAGGGGTTAACTAGTAGACCCCGCCGCACAATCTTGAGATAGGATACCGCAGGTCAGCTATGGCAGCATAGGCAACCCCTCTGGAAGGCACGACCAAGGCCCTCAGGGGCAACACACGACCCCCCCCCAGATAGTAAAAAAACAAATCTCCCACTGCAAACCAACAGGTACTCAACAACCAAGCCTGAATTATCATGCTAACATATACTACGTAACGAAGCACAAAATGCCCCCGAGTAGACAGGGCACTCAGGGACTTCACACCACCTCAGAGTGGCGGACAGCACCCCCCTCAGCCGCACGGTTGGACCACCCACGACGTCTCCCACGAGAGGCCATGGGTCGCCTAGCAGTATACATGTCTCACAAGCACGCCAAAGCTATACTTAGTTCAGTTTCACCTGTTACGCTAACATATTACCCGGTGCGCACAGCTAGCCCCAGTCCCCAACTGAATCTCAGGGCCACAACCTGTAGACTGTCACAGGAGGCCCTAAGCTACTACACCAAGGCCTAAGGGACTAAATGCAGACCCCACTACTAGCCACAAGCACTGCTGGGTTAGGAAAAGGATGCCACACAACAGACATGTCGGCACATGGGTTCAGGTTGAAAGGCATGTCCAAGGCATACCAGGGCAGCATGTGACTTTGATAGTAACAAGAAAAATTACCGCAATGCTACTTATTATGTAACCCACACGCAAGACTTAACTAACCATTACTATGTATTATAAAATGTTACTGTGCATGTATATTAAACACAGGTACCATACCACACACGGCTCCTCAGAGCGGTCCAAAAACACCCCCTCCACAGACCAACAACAAGCACCAACCAACAGTGATGAGGGAAGCGGACGATCCTACAGCTACCGGACAGACCCTGGCCAGCCCCCTCCGTACAACAGCTGACCTACACAAAGGACCGGCGATCCATGACAACACACAAGAACCCCTAGACCAGCGAAACCGACTCACCAGGTACGCACACAACGACACCATGGGACAGTCACACACTCACCCCCACTAAAGCTGCAGTACATCCACGTACTCACAAAAGCAATCCAAACGCACAACATGACCAACCCCACCCACACATCACACCCCACCGAGATGCACCCACGCAGACACCCCGGGGCGGGGAGCGAAGGGCACGCTTACAGTCCATTCTCCCCCCCACGAACACACAAACCAACTCAACTAATCTCACCTCAACCATACAGTGAGAACTAGAGGAGACCAACACCCCTTACAACAGACAGAAACTCGCACACCCTCCCGCTCGCCCATCTCCTGGCAACAAACTAGTAAGACCAGGATCCAAACCATCTACCCCTTCCCCAACACCCCCCCACCCACAGCCCTACATCCTACATTGCCACCTCCCCCCCCCATCTTCCACCCCCCTCCCCAAGGTACATCAAACATACAGATTCAGAACCAAACCCACTACAACAAGAAGGCACACACCAGCAGAACAACACCGCACCCACCAGCATGCCGGCAACCCTGACCTGCCTATCAATAAACTGCAAGGGCCTAAACAACCCCACCAAACGGCACCAAGTAATGCGCTGGGCAAACAGATCTAAGGCGGACATACTACTCTTGCAGGAAACTCATTAC